TTGTTTGTCATCAGTCGTCTCCTTAGACGGCTTGTCCTGCGTGTGGAGTGAGGCCAGGACCCTCTCTTTTGCCTCCGATTAACCGCTCGTGCTAAATTATCTTTCTCTTGTTTTCGGCTTAAAGTTAACGTTAAGAGTCCACTTTTGAGGATGACTCATCTGGGGATTGTTTGCCAAGTTTTAAGTCACATTTTCAACCATAGGAGAATAATATTTAATCTAGTTTTTAATCACCAAAATAGTAAGTATTCATACTTTCAAGACATCGATGTATCCTGCATTTTTGTTAGAACCGAATCAATGGAAAGGTATACATATTTCGACAATCGCATGTACTCTTTGATAGAACTTTTTTTTAATTCGTTCCAATTATTTATTGAGTCTGTTAGGGGGATTTCACATGAAGGGCGACATCACTCCAAGTTAACCTATTTAGGCTCAAGGCCTCTTCGGAAGTACCAATTTCAAATTAATCTTAAGGTTCCTTACAGTTCTCATGAAATATGTAATTCCGTAAATACAGTCCATAGCCCTTCCCGTTTCACTGTAGTATGCATATAGAAATCGCATAGGCTTAAGCGTCCCTAAGTGGATTAGACATAGCTACTCTAAATCCAAATGTAGATGGAAAATCTTCCTACAGTTTCCTGCTAGAAAAATATACAGAACCTATTAGCATCTGCAAGCGTACGCGTCTACTAGTGTCGTTCCCTTCCCCTTTGACCCAGCATTATATGTTGAAGGTCTCACGCCTCGGGGTAAGACGGCAGGATTCTCGGTCATATGGGCTGAAAAGTTCCTCGATGAGGATGGGTCCGACAAGATTGGTGTAAGACGAAGCGTCTATCCAAGCGTAACACATAGGCCTGGTAGCTCGGTCCCCTCTGGGAACGTACCTTCTATGTCGAACTTCATCTGTAGCACGGAATGAAACATCTATTAGTTTTCCTTCCCGCTTCCCTGAGGCAAGAAAATCCATGAGAGTGCTACTAGCCTGAGCATTCGTCTGTGGGTTGGGTCTAGGGATGGGAAATCAGCTACCCCCCCCCCCATTCCCCGAAATGTGCTCAGAGGGCATGTACCCTAAATGTGGGACATTCTCCAACAAAAGTTGAACTTTCTCTGGAGTCGGCAACCTAACAGGTATTCACGTTCCTTCAGTTTTGTTGAAGGAAGAGTGCGCCTGAGAATAATATATTCCTAAGCGTCCGTCTGTGGATTAGACCTAGGCTTGCAAAATGAAACCCCCCGGAACGCGCCTCGCAGGGCACGTACCCCCAAAGTTGGCATTTTTCTGGAGTCAACAATCTAACAGTTGTGTGTGGACCAAGTTTCAGCCTATCATCATGTCTAGAATATGGTTAGAATTAGCGTCGGTCAGTCACTACCTATGGTATTAGATATGTTTGGAGAAGGTGGGGCCATTGCCTCCAGATAAGTTGTGCTCATAATGGAAAGTGAATCCAATCGAAATAAGTGCACCTATTAAACAATATTTCGCCCAGCTATATATAATTTTTCTGCACACGTAAAATGATATCACAAATATGTCTTGTACTTTTTTCGTTCATTGGGTCTGATATGACAGGAAACTTCAATGCTTTAAATAATAGCTAGGAATGAAACACTAATAAAAATTTGCACTTTAAGCATTTTCGTGCATTGAAATGTTTAATTGCGGCCGCAACGATGAGGTGTTGAATAACTTTTTTCTCCATGAACATCCCATTAAAATATATTTAAAAAAGTAATATGAATACGGAGTAGAGCGAAAATTGCTTTTCTGGAATTTTCTCACCTGACCATGTCACTTCTGGGTGGGAGGCCTGACCACTCCGTGCTGCTCACAGAAAGATACCATGTATCGTCGATCTTGCGGGCGTTAGAAATGATGACTACGTCCCGACTGGCGATTAGACCTCCAAGTTTGGGAAAAAACACTTCATACACCACCCAGCATGTGTCTGTGAATCGCTGTCGAGGAAGGAGCACGTATCTACATCTGAACACGTCAAGACACGTATCGGCATCTCCACGGAAATGCCCTGCACTCAATATATTCAAATTAGTTTAGACCTGATTTGGTGTCGTTTCACATAACTAGACATTTTGGTTCGTATGGATATTCGTTCATGGACACGAACTGACGATTGAGATGAAAGGTCAGCTTTGTGGATTCATTTTGAGCATCACATCAGCAGTACGAGGCTGTCAAGCAGTTATCATCTCTAAGCTTCTTCTATCTGGTGTGTTTCGGCGAGACAACATATAAGGATGTATCAATGTCCAAATGTCCCGTGGGATTCAGAACGACCTGGATACCTTAAGCGTCATGATGTCTACTTTACATGAACCGAAACGGGAACTGAACGTAGCATTGCATTTGAAATTCGTCTCAGGTAATGCCGGATATTTCATGGCGGGGACGTGAAAAAATGGTGAAATGGAAGAAGAAATGTTTCGAATGTAATGGCAGGTGGAAATGAATATATTGATCAAGTTGGGTAAAACATAAGTAAACCACCAAGGTACGAAGTATATGAGGCCTGCTTATTCGAGTCTGCTTGTAACTAGGCAATACAATGTGGATCTCTCAGTTCTACTTAGTGACGTCAATATATTGATAGAATGGATGCTATATTAGTATGCACTCGTGGGAGTGGACACTTGATAGTTTCCAGTTCTGAACGTGTTTCTGGTTGAAGAGCTAGGTGACACCGAGCCACAAAGATTGGTTTGATGGCACCTAGCTATTAAACAAAACCAAACATCTCCTCGCAAGTCGTAACATATCATTGACCAGGGTGATAATGCGCAAATGACTTCCATAATCCTGCATGCGCAGGCTTCCTGAATGCTTTGGATGAGACGAACCTTAACGATGTTAAATTCTTTGACATCAGTGAACCAGTCGGCGGTGGCTTCCAGGGTATGGTGTCGAAGATCTGCGTACACCCATTCGGCTTCGAAATCCAGAGTGGCCTGCAAAGAGGATGGACAATTCGGAGTGACATATATGACGCTTTCGTACTGGTGAAATTTGAGTTTCGTACATCTTCACCGGTTGCAAATATTTTATATGTATGTATTCCACGATTTAAAATGTCGTGCATTGTATTTAATGGAGTCGCAGTTCGAAGAATCGCAAAAGCGTCATTCATTGTTCCCGATTCCAGGAAAAAGGCTCTAGCTTAAAATGCTTCGAAGGGAAAAACTTCGCACCAGTGGATCCTAAACTGTGAGTCACGAGAGGCATCAAGGTGGGCGCGTACATTTTCCGAGCGAAAAAAAAAATTCACAACATTCGCATCCGCTTAAGATAAAACATGCCCTGCTGAAAAGGTCGATGAGTTTTCTTCACGTCATAATAACTTTGAAAATACCTCGTTCTGGATTCTGGTGGGTCACGAAATGTTTTGCACATCAGCAAGAGGGTCGCGACTCAAAGGAGTCTGGGAACCACTGAATAACACGATGCAAACCGCTGTGGATCACCAAGGGTCATTGTATCACACTGGGCCAAATTGACTTACGAGTATGTTCCAGCTTAGGGAACCAAGGAGTTTATAATCACCTGATATTAGCATATGAATCTCATATAATCTAGTCTGGAAATTATATTAATTCCCTATTATTCTTTTATTGCACCGTAAAAGTAGGTTTACGAGGAATACAGGGTGGCCCAAAAGTAGGTATGCAGTTGTTTAATTTTTTCTTTTTTTTTTCTTTACAGATATTGTGAATGATGGCAGCGAACTTGAGTCAACGTTGATGGAAGACATTTCGAGCACTTACGAGATTAAACAGTGTTAGTCAAATGTAAATGTAATAAACAATGTAATAAAATGCAAATAAAACTATACTGCATACCTACTTTCGGGCCACCCTGTATAATGTTTTCATAGTAAAAATTATATATATGGTATTGTACAGTAGTTTACATTTATGTAGATAGTTAAAATTCGCTCTAACCGAATACCATAATATTCATATCTCGTCAAGCCATTGAGTGCTAATCTCGAATTTTGCATCGTCAGGAATGAGATACCATCCCCTTTTGAATGACGTATTATTTGAATGACGTTAGAGTGGAAGTTATTCCAGAAACAATTTCACAAATATACCCCGAATGGGCGCTGGGAGCGAAAAATAGGTCATGTTAAAATGCATATAAATCTGGAAAACTGTAGGAGAGAGAAAAAATAAGTTGAAGTTAATCTCTTTGAATCGATTGCTCTATGAGTATGCCGAGTTTTGAGATAATCCGAGAAGGTCGGGCTCACACGCTGGTCGATTTGTCGTGGAATGACCTATTTGCTTAATTCTTCTACCCAGGGTCATGTTCGAGTCGGTCATTGTGACGCATTCTATGATGTCGGGGTCATGATTCTTTCATCTTTACATGTGTTGAATCATTGAAAAATGAAGAGAATTTAAGCGATGCCTTGAATTATTCTAAAATTGCAAAAAAAATCATTATTATACACTGTAAAATGAATTATTATTGCACCGTGAAGGAAAGAACCGGTCTTATTGGACTTGGCGCGTCGAGACGGATTGTGACGCGATGACGGCGTAGAAGTAAAAGACAAATAATGTCTTTTCCGGCATCCACATTTTTAAAAGCAGATTCATGACTATTTTTAAATCTTTGATTAACCTTATTCACATTCCCTTGGCCGAGATGCCTGTACGTGGTTGTGTCATGTTCGAACGGAATTGTTTATCTTAGATTTTTTCTGATGCTTCCAGGATCGACGAGAACTCCATTGCCATCAAAAGTTTCACGTATTTCATCATGAAGACGTGCTTTCTCCCATTTCCATACTTCCATATCCAAGGAGCTGCGTTTAAGATTAGCCTCCGCAAAATCTTGAAATATATAATTTCCTTCAACTGAATCTTCAGTCAATGACTAACTAGACCTGCGTCCACCACTCGGATCAAAAAATTTTTATACCAACGGTTTCGAACCTAAGTTACACACACGACTGCAATAGTCACGTTGAGTATTCATGTGGGTCGTGACGCTTGCGGAACTCCTGCAAGGCGCATGTACACACGTAGCACATAATGATTGGCCGGCGACAGTCTATTAAAAGCTGATAGAAAAGACATAACCTCTCCCAAGAGGATGAGTATGTTCGTCTCTCGATCATACGCGGATTTGACGGTGATTCCCTCCTCGGCGTAATCCCATTCCAGAGTCCAGTCATTCCTCTCCAGGTTGAAGCGTAACTTTGCCAGCGCCCGCTCCCCTTCGCCCTCGCATTTCTCGTATCCAGGCTACATGAAATAAAAGAAATATGCAACTCTATCGAAGATTGTACCCTGGTGACGTCTAGCCTGCTGATGAACGAATTGCTCGCGAAAAGGATTGGCCAGCGAACAATATACGAGGGTATGTGCATTTAGCTGAAAAATGAAGACCCGAATCCATGAACCTCTTTTAACGGAATAAAGGGTCTTTTACGCATAATAACTATGCTACTCCCATTGGAGAACGGGTATTCTTAAAGGACCGCTGACTTATAGAGGTTCCAGTATTCGAAGTTTCGCTTTCGTCGAATGGACGAGTATCGCAGAACATTGAAAAAAGAACTTAAGTGAAGCGCATTGAAAGAACATTGAAAAAAAATTTGGTTTAAAAACGCATGAATTCTGTCAGCATTCTTTATAACGTCAATAGGCCAAAGTGAAGACACCAAGACAAGCCACTCTAGTTGGGAGTCTCTGTAATCGTGCCCAAAGCTAGAACACAAGCACTCCCGACCTGACCTAGGTATTATAGAAGAGGACATGAAATACTGAAGCAGAAGTACACATGACAGCAAATGAGATTTGGTGAGAATAAAACAGTTCCATGCGTCCAAGCGAGTTCAAAATTCATGATGCTTCAACTTAATTTTTTCCTCATCAATATCGAAGGCAGCAAAATGAATTTTGGGTATTTTACCTGTTCGACGACCGACTCGATAGGCCAAAGATCTTGGTGCCATAAAATGGTGACGTTGTGCAGGAAATTTATCGTCTTTAGGATGAATTCGAGCGCGAATGGCGTGTTCATCTTTGAGTCCCCTTCCCTGAAAATAAATATGAACGAATATTGTTTCGGAATGGTATTGAATCTTTGAAGCTAGATAGGAGGGAGAATCATCTTGCTAAAGGGAGTCATCATCCGCATTCCGGAAATATATTAGTTCGTACAGTTTTTTTTATTAGAATGAATTCGTTCGTATCGGCATACATTTTTTCACGGTAACCGTTTATTTTCTGTTAAAAACGCTATGTTCACCTTCCAACAGGGGAATACCTATTATAACGGAAAATTTACCGCCAAAGACTCAGTAGTTCTTAGTCTTTCCTGAACCTCTTGACTGATTAACTCCATTAATTTCGAAATTGATAAGATTCTTGCAAAATGCAACTTTGGTTGGAATCGTCTCAATGGGGTGAAGCAGAAGGAAATGAGGGGAACAAAGGTTAGTCTATTTTGGGCGATCTTGCTAACGTAAGCGCGTCTTGTACCTAGATCATCCCACGCCAAATCGACCATCGTGTGAGTACTACCATCTCGGATATTGACGTAAATCGGTAAATGCGATTCAAGGAAACTAACTTCAGAGAGTCTTCTTATCTTTCCCACGGATCTCCAGATTTATGCATTTTAATGTGACCTATTTTTCTCTCCCAGCGCCCATTCAGATTGGAATTGTAAAACTGTTTATACAATAACACCCCCTATAATTAAAATATTACCCTGTAGCTTTATTCCATTGCCATTTTAATTGAAAGATGCAGACTCCACCCATTAATTCCGACTTGCAATATATAATTGAAAAATTATTGCTACTCTCTTTCTAAAAATACCAAATTTAAGGGTGGCACTCAATTGCTTCATCAGAAATGACTGCTGTGGTGGTACTCAAAATTCCACTTGGTTAAATAATCATACCGATTTCGGCAATCAACATTTACACTATACCTCTATGAATTTCAAGTTAAAATATTCAGTAAAAATTATACTTCATACTTGTTCTACCGCTACCAAAGTCAAGATTGGCATTTGAAAACTTGCAGATAACTACAGGGTGCGTCAGCTATTTGAGAACAACATTTGACTTTGAGGAAAACAAAAATTTTCAGAAGAAAAACCAATATATTTTCATCGAATTTGGTACACATGTTCTTACATACACATAACAAAAGGCTATTCAATAAAACCGCCTTCAACCTCGATTACGGCCTCGATGCGGCTTCTGAAACGACTACATGCGTTGATCAGGTGATCCTTGTATCAGGTGATAATGTCCCCGATGGCAGCCTTCAACGAGTCCTTGGTATTATGGGCATGCTTGTTGGTCTCCCTCTCAACGACGCCCAAGACGTAGTAGTCCAGGGGGTTAAATCAGGAGAGCTAGGAGCTATACCCACCTCAGGTATAGACATTTTCTCAAGTCGGATTCCTACTTACGGAGGCAGTATCCATGCGTAGCATTTGTACGTTGTCTGCATGCGAGCTCGCTTAGGGTATTCCCAGAGGATTCAGGTTATCGATGGACAGAAGCAGGGGAAAACGTATGCTGGCACCTTACTGACGATGTGGTCTCTAAAGAAGCACTTCTTATTTCAAGTCCGTTCTTCGGGACTAATATCGTTCATTATGATATACATTTTACGCTTAGTTCCCACGTGTGTCCCGTTTCTTGATATGGCATGGTTCCTTCCATTTTTATATACTTTACTCACGTTGAACTAATTTTGGTTCTAATTTTCGCATATTGGCAGATGTAGCACGCTGTGCCTCAGCATATCTTTCGTGCATATATGTTCCATCATGAACTGAATATCAAAGTTTGGAAGCGGGAACCAGGCTAAGACCATTCTCAGTTGATCAGCAGTGACAAAAAAGTTTATCTACAGGTAAAAGGCCGCAAGAGCGGCCATATGCCGCTAGTTCGTTTATTATTGCAAAATCAACTTTTTATTCAACTTTAATTTAGGGAGTTAATTGACTTGTTCACGCAATAATATCTTGCTATTATTAATGCTAGGAAGCTAATAAACCCTCAAAATGAAAAGCAGCAACAATTTTACTCATGGAGCTACATAACAATGGGCTACATTCTCATGATTCCCAGGTGTAACTATAAATGTACATTCCATGCGGTCAAACGATTATGTCTCATGAAGCCATTGAGTGTCAAAGTTGAATCTGGCACCGTTATAAAAGGCACAACAGGAACTTTTTCCTGACATATGACGAGTCAGATTTCATTTGTGGAAAGTGCAGGTATCGGTCGCGGAAGTCGGTCAGTGTCCGAACAAGTAAAATTTCGGTGCCACTGGCGCACACAAATATGCATATCTCGTCAAGCCATGGAGTGCTAATTTCGATTTTGGCATTGTCAGAAATGGGATATCATAACCTTTTAAATGACGTATTGGAACAACAAAATCCCAAGGTTGCAAGCGTCGATATTGTACTAATCAAACTATGTGATCAATTGAAACTCCTTGCCCCAGCTTAGAAGAATGATGCCTGAATATAACTTTTTCAGACGTTAATTTCACAAATAAAATGACACTAAATTGAAGATCATATCTTAATTAGAGGGATAGTCATTGCAGAAACATTTTCACAACTCCAGTCCGAATGGGCGCTGGGATCGAAAAATAGGTCACATTAAAATGCATATATCTGGAAATGTGCGGGAGAGATAAAAAATTGCTTAAAGATAATCCTTTTAAACCGATTTTTCTACGTACATGCCGAGTTTTTGTCGTAATTCGAGATGGTCGAGCTCACTTGCTGGTCGATTTGGCGTTGAATGACCCATTTGCTTAATTTGTCTACCCAGGATCATGTTCGAGTCGGTAATTGTGAAGCACCTGACGATGTCGGGGTCATGATTTCAACTTTACATGTCTCGAAGCATCGAAAAATGAAGAGAATTTAAGCGATGCCTTGAATTATTCTAAAATTGCAAAAAAAATCCTGGGTATACACTATATGAAAATAATTATTCATTCGTGAAAGAACGAGACAGACTTACTGGACATGGCGTGCCGAGATGGATTATGACGAGATGACCTACACAGCGTAGAAGTAAGAGACAAAAGAACAAAGCCTCCTCCGATGTCCACATATTTTTAGTTGATTTATGTCATTTTTCTTTCTTAGAATAACTTCCTTCGAATTCCTTTGACCGAGATGCCTGCACGTGCTTGGGTCACGTTCATGATTTATATTCTTAGATTTTTTCCTGACTTCCACTATTAGCTATTGCTCCATTCCCATTAGAAGTTTCATTTTATATGCGTGACAAAATCATTCATTTACTGTTCAACAAAAACTAAAAATAAACATGCGAAATAGAGGATGCGAGAAGACCTATTATAGGGCCGAGAGTGTGGTCTAGGGTATGGGAGAGCAAATATTATTCTCCAGTAGAATTTATCTACAGCCTCACTCCAACTGGCGTCCTTCCCATGAGTCTTTAATCTCCCCTCACTTTATAGCGTGGTAAAATAGGTCATGGTCATCAGAAACCAAAAGGGTGAGGAAGGCCTGACAATGCTTCCCATGATCGAAGGGTGACAGTATCCAAGCCGTCTTGCTTTTGCCATCTCTATCAACAAGTGCCAAGGGCAAACATTCCAATGAATTTGTTCGTATTGAATACTTTCCCAAGTCTGTATTTTTCCAATCGACATTTGTATTTTGCCTTTTTTAAGAGTGCGGCACTTGCAAAACGTCAATGTGAAGGTAGAGCATGGACCCTGAGAAGGCAGCTGCCCAGGCAACGATGGCATTTATACATTGAATAGCATGTTCCGATAGAAAATCCTGTACACATTTCTGAAAGTCAATTACTAAGATTTATAAAAATGTTTCATGTTCTTCAATGAAAGTCAAGAGACAAAATTTCTATAGCTACTGTTCTATGATGGAGTTCAAAACTTTGTCTTTAGACCATACACATTCAGGATATTAAGTATTTATGATAAAATCTAGAAATTGCCACATTGTAACTTCTAGCGTTTTTGCGCGTGGCTCAGCAAGTTTCATATACATATCCATAGGAATTTCGTTTGGGTACCCTTTTCTTGGCAACCGTTTTCTCACAGCCACGATAGGAGAAGAAAGCAGGGCAAGTTTCTTTCAACTCTTCCCTCCTTTTTCCATATGAGTTAGTGCATCCGGACCTGCCGCAAAGTGGTCCCAGGCTTTCGGAAATGCAAGCATATCTGTAGGCCTCGTGGAGGTATGTGAATGCCGGAATAGCTGCACATTCCGATTCACAAACCTTGAGAAGCATATCATCGAAAACTCTTTTGAAAGCATTTCTTTTCACCTTGAACCTTCAGTTTTCCAATTTTCTTTTTTAAGTGCACGGGGATGCGAAGAGATGGGAGAATGCTCCGAGGCTGCGTCTTCGGTTATTTGCTGGGTTATGTCTAAGAGAAATTTGAGACCAAATTCAGAATGGGGATTCCAACAGGGGTCTAGAAATCTGGAGATGGCTCCATTGGAATTTCGCGCGAAAATATCTCATTGCTCCGTTAGGTTCTTGATACAATATAGAGGTACAATGATGTACATTCCGTACAAAAGTAACTGCGCTGTATCTCAGGATCGGCATGGTCGCATTTCCCCAAATTGGGTGAGAATTACGTCAGCCCTTTTTCTTTGAATGTTAAGAAAATTCATGCTGATCTAGTGTTCTGAAGTTTTAACCGATATTCTGCAACAAGTCCTACATTGAGCAAAATGCAATTTCTGAACTGAGAAAACGATTACAGACTGCTGGAATCCACTTCCTAAATTTGGTCTCACGTTCATCTCAACCATAACCCTGATAAGTATCCAAGGATGCAGCATTGCGGCATATTCTGATCTTACCGCGTTCGCTGCAATGGAATCTGAATCTTCAATGGAAAGTCAATGGCGAAAAAATGCCGCTGAAAAGTGTTTTTCTTTTTTTATATTTGGTTCTCAAGGTTGACGGATAGTAATTTTCTAATTCTTCTTGCTTTCACATAACTCCACGGGACCTGCATACGACCTCACATTTCTGAAAGTGTGGATTCGACTACGAAGTACCTTTTTGAATGAAATATACATGTATGTAGACGATCGTGACTGAGTGACTGAATGACTGACTGAGTGACTCACCGATGCTCGTTCTAACCATGTTCTAGAGAATTTAGAAATCTGAAACTTGATACACGAGTATCTATTGAGATGTTCAGAAAATATTTGACTTTGGAGGTACATCCCCTCGGGGAACCCAATTTGAGGGAGATGTTTTCGAATATATCAATATATATTTGCTTCAGTCAAACGGAGAGACATGGAAAGCTGAAACTTGGCATGGACTAAGACTATTAGGACACCGAGTTCAGGGAAAATGTCCAATTTCCAAGACATCTTCTGGGATCATATTTCTTGGGGATAACGTTTTCAAATAATTTTTTCATCCAAGCGGGTAGAAATAGAGAAGTGGGACCTGGCACGCACATAACGGACTTGATGTGTTCAGAAAATATTAAACTTTTTTTCTTTGTCCCCTTAGGTCACAGCTTTTGGGTGGGTAACTATTCAAAATATATTTTCCCATCGCCGAAAAGGGGAAACCTATGAATCTGAAACTGGGTAGGCAAGAAATTCCTTGAGTCTACATTTCAGAAAAAAATATTTTCTTTTTGGTAACACCCATCAGGGCACCTTTTTTAAAGTTGCATTTCTTTAAATATTTTTTTGATTCAGCGAAACACAGAGAGAGGCACATGGAAGTCGGCACTCAACATAGTGTCAAAGGACGAAAGGGTCACCCTGCACTGCACAAAAAAGAAAGTTTTTTTTGTCGAGTGACTGAAACATAAAGATACACACTCATTTTTGGCATTTTTCTCTAAAAAAAATCCTTCCTTAAGACAATTTTTCCTCTATGCAACGGTGAAAAGTAAAACTAGTAACTTGCTAAATCGATGCAACCGATAGAGGAGTGCAAGTTACCGTAGCGAGAGATTTTCCTTTTTCCCTTATCACAAAGGGATATTTGAAGGACAAAGTTGTCCTTTTTTAAACCTATATTCTTGAAATCTCGATCTAACTACAAGGTTGTGTAAATATAATGGTTCACCTATGGAAGAGCTCCGATTCAAACTATTGCACGCCTCCGTACGATGAACGGATCCTGATATGAAAATTTTGCCAACCGTGGGATTTTCCCATTTCCCCCCAGAGTTTAAGGGAATAAATCTCGCTAACTGCAAATCCAATAGAGTATATTTTTTACGGAGTCATTAGAGTGACTGCAGAGAATGTCCATCACGAAATTCCAGATCGTCGAGAGCTCTGACTGGTTGAGTTCATTTGGAGTGACTGAATAATATAATATTAAATAAAGATAATTTAAACAACCTAACTTTTCAGGCTGGTGTTCTTCATTAAATATATGCATGGCATTGTAGAGCTTGCGTTCAATAAAATGCATCCTTTCAAATGAAAAATCGGACTCCATGGCGCACATGCTCTTCTGAAAATGTTCCTCCACCTAAAAATGCTGTCAATGAGCAGCTAGGCTTGAGTCCAGCACAGTATCTCTAATAATAACCAACAAATTTGTGGAATCTACACACGACTTCGCAATTTGCATTTGTCGCTTTGAGTATTTAAGTGGGATGATTGCGAAACTTATACAAGGCGAATGGGCTCACGGAATACATCCTGATTGGCCTGCAATGGTCTGTTGTTAAACGCAAATGGAAAGAGATAACCTCTGCCAAGAAGATAGGCATTTTGTTTCTTCATCATATATGAATTTGATGGTGATTCCCTCCTCGTTGCAGTCCCTTTCAAGAATCCAGTCCTTCTTCTCAAGGTTGAAGCGTTACTTCTGCAGTGCTCTCTCTGCCTCGCCATCACATTTCTCGCACCTAGGGTATCTAATATATATGGACGATCGTGACTGACTGACGCTAATTCTAGCCATGTTCTAGAAAGGTTAGAAATGTGAAACTTTGTACACATGTACCTTTTGGGATGCAGAGTTCAGAAAAAATTCGACTTATGAGGTACATACCCTGGATGTGCAAATTTTGGGGGGGAAACGTTTTCTTATATATATATTGTGACGGCATTCAGATGGCATTCAGAGGGTCAACTGGATGTCCCGAGTTCGGTGGTGTAGTGGTAGCATATCTGACCGGCAAACATGCGGTCCGGGTTCAATTCCTGGCTTTCCTTGGTTTTCTATTGGCTTCTTTTACCTTCCTTGTCCCGTTACTCATTCCCCCTCCATAGCATTATTTTTGCTTTAGTAAAACGGAGAGACATGGAAAGCTGAAACCTGGCATGCACGTGCCTAACGAGACGATGAGTTCAGGAAAATTTCTAAATTTTAGATCCATGCCTTTGGGATATTTTTGGGACCAACGTTGTCCTGGTGTATTGAGCTGGTATGGAAAGATGAAACTTGGTACATAACTGCCTATTGGGATGATGCAGGAAAAATTCAGACTTTGGAAGTAAATGCCCCTCGGGGCAGAAATTTCAAAAGGAGATGTTTTCAAATAATTTATTCGCATCGGTTTAAATGATGAACATGGAAAGCTGAAACTTGGCATGAACGTGATTACAGAGACAAGAAGTTAAATAAAAATGTTAAGTCGCGATACATTCCAAACATTTTTTTTTGCACAAATGATATAGATATGCTAGTTTTAAATTGTTCACTCAATTGTGAGTTAATTGACGCTATCATAAAGACTCTAGCATAATTGGTTCTTGAATTACGGTGATATAAATATCAAAGGTTAGAAGGTGACCTTTACTTTTTTACCACCCTGTAGCATTCGACCGACTGGCCCGATGAGGCTCAAATGTATTATATCCCGGTTTCGATGCATAGTAAGTCTGTATGCAAAATTTCATTAACTCGGGTGTTAATTTAAAAATATTCACTGATTTTCAATAGAATGACATGGGAATTTCTCTAGACACAATAAAATACAGACGTTGAAAACGATAAAATAAATTATTGCAGTCAATTATTGCTCCGCAGAAAAAACGGCTCAATCACATGAAAGCGGCTGGACGGAATGGGAAGGAATGACCCTCCTGGGAAAAAGCAACAGGAAACAATGACAATCTTGCTGGGTCTCTCACGTTTTCCCTTGAGATGTATGCCCCTTCTCACATAAACCTTACGGAGGAGCTTGCGTCCCGAACAGGGGATTTCCCTTAGCAAGGATCGGAAATTTCTTCTGTGGATGTTCTGTCGACTCATCCAGGATAGAAGACTCTTGCGTTGTCATGACACATTTTCCGCATTTTAGGAAGACTCAGACATTCCTTGTCACATGATAAAATTTCCGTGAGGAAGAAATTGCGTCAGGAACGTATATAACATGGGCTTCATTTCATTGGTGGAATAGTGCTGTGATTCCGTGCCAGTAGCAGAAAATTCTTTCGAAAGATATTCAAGCGATAGGAGGTGACATTTATGATCAGCATTGCTAATCCGAATTCAATCATGCACCCCAGGTGTATCCCACTTCGGCGTTAACGTCCCGCCGGAGGGGGAAAGATGGGGGAAATCTATTTGAATAAGACCCAAATGCTAAAAGATTCCTTACTTAAGGGTCTTTTAAGATAGTGAAGACTCCTATGGGGGGAAAAGGAGCTCTTAATTAAAAGGTCCATATATCTCTTCTAAATGATCTTTGGGCATTCGGAGAGAATTGGATGGTGTTTAACGTAGTCCTGCTGAAGGTAATCCCCAACGTTCGCTGGTGTTTGCTTGCCTATTTTATTATTAGGCAAGCTGGCCAGCTGGCAAGGCAATAGGCATAGTTCCTTAAGGTGAAAATCATCTTTATCTCTAATGGTGGGGGCACACCTGGGCTCCAAAGTTTCCAGTTCTGCCTTCCCTGGATTTTCATGTCGAAGTTATCAGAAAACAATAGCTTTTTGCGGCCTTAAGGTGACGTATTATAGGAGATAAGGAGGTATTATAGATTTCAATAAAAATTTCTTCTGGTTTCTCATATTGCACGAGAATATATTTCGAAATAATAAAAAAAATTGGAGGAAAAGAAAGAAATTAACAGCCTCATTCTAATTAGGTTACTGAATCCAACAACACCTCACGATTCAGCTGTTGCCTGGCCGACAAGTACTTCCGCAAGCTGAGGATGTACTGCCTGCATCCTTCCGCATAAGCCTTGAGGAGAATGGGCATTGGGGCGAAAGGGATCTTCATGTCCCCTGATGTGACCCAGCGCGTGAATGTCCTCGTCGCGTTCTGCTTCGGATCGGGTGAGAATGACATCCCGCTTCCTTCGAGCACTTCCACTCTAATTTCGCCAGAGAAATACGAGACAAGCATTTGTGAATATAACAAATATGTTGTGGTGCTTGTTTACCTTCGTGTAGCCAAAGGGAAGGGAGAATACTTGAAACGGTGTTTTAAGGCAACACCAGGTTTAATATTCATGGTAATCCAGAGTATCTATTAACATTGGGGGGCGGGGGGCTCAAGATGAATCCATGATGAGTGATTTCGTATCTTCAAAATTTGCATACACGACACAAGTTAGTGCATGAAAATTTTCTAACCCTTCCTTTTTAAAATGTTGCTATCGTTTTTATTATGAAAATACATATTCAAAACGATATTCAAGTTCACCAGCAGCACAAGTATCACTGCTAATGCCTGGCTGGCTCTATTAATTTATAATATCGAACACTACTGGTAAGTATCCGGTGCCAAACCTTTCCTCAAATTTAATGCAACTTATTCACTTTGAAACCTGAGACAAAAGTTACAAACATGGCTCACTAAAAAGGTGTGAGAAAATATATTGGAAACTACTGAAAATTCAGGGACATTTGCAGGAAATGTGAACTTCGGTTCAGAAAGGGTTAAGGGTTTTTCTACAACCTATGAATATATCAATGAATGACCATCATTTGAAACCCAAATGAAATGTGACTGTAAAATGTCCTAAAACCTTAAAACTACAAACTACCCTTCCCTCCCCCCCCCTCCGCCCCAGATCGGTTCTCCATGATACGAGTATGTAAAGGTGGTCTAGCCGCCCCAAAATAAATTAGAAACAAGCAGTTTTCCAAATGTTCACAATCGGGAATTCTGAATAGTACACTCCCAAGTGGAAGAAATAATGTGCTTTGAAATGTCCACTGAAACCTGCCTCACCTGACCACCTCCTTCCTCGGTTCCAGCCCCGGCCACTCCGTGGTTCTCGTGGAGGCGAAATAGGTATCACCGATTTTGTCGAGCCGGTGGAGGAAGACTACGTCTCGACTGGCGATGAGGCCAGCGAATTTCGGCTGCGTCATTTGGTAAATCACCCAGCATGTGTCTGTCAGTCGCTGTCGATCAGAGAGACGAATGTCAGCTTCACCAAAACGTGTTTTCATCAATCAATCGCAATTTCTCGTCTCGATTGCCTGCGAAATGCACTAGACCAAATCGGCTTGGTCCCATGCATTTCTCCCTTTCGATTCCGCTTTCATGGTAATAAATCCGGAAGAGGAATGGAAAAATCGAATGCAATTATCCGAAAAAGAAATTCCGAGGAACCACCTCGTATCTCCATCCTAAAGCAATCTAAATAAAAGTTGTCAAATATACTGATCTATCGATGATCTATCTGGTATATTGTAATTTGCCGTTCTAAAGCGACCACCACAAATGAACTTAGTCTCTACGAAACAGTTTCCAGCAATTTCCCCCTTAAGCCAACATAAATCTATTCATCATGAAAGGTAGAAATAGGATCGTTGGAAAATGAAATATTTGGGGAAATGCCATCGGGTTCCGTTTCGAAAGTCGAGAGCGTTGGATTACCTTCGAGCAAATGTTACTACAAAAATAAATTTCCGAATCAATGTCATGAATTGGGTCGTGGAGTCGATGCTCTTCAAGTACTGGTTTAAATTTTAATCGGAGCAAATGTTTACGACCAAAAATTAACTCCGAGGCAATAGCCTCTAACAGCCTCCTACTGCATCTCAAACCTTCACTTACCCTTACAGATCTTGCTGATCATCTTCCCGCCTTACGTAAGAAAATGATTAACCCGCTAATTAAAATTGTATCGCAATCTCAGAAGCAAATTCTGAGATCGCAAATAAAGTTCCATGTAATTCTTTGGATATCTCAGGTTGAGGATGACTTGGAATATCAGGACCGGCCATGCTGTTGCCAAAGTGACACTAAAAATCCTGGTACAGATATAAGAACTAAGGTCTCAGAGCGACGAGGTAAAAATGTCCTGATCTTCTTAATGCACTGGTGTAATGAAATTCCAAATTTGAATTTCTTCACTGTACTTGGGGAAGGACATTGCCTAAATCCGCGCAACTGACTTCTCGGATGAGCCATCAGTTCTGGAATGATTCAGCTGAAACGAACCTGAACGATCTTGCACTCTTTAATTTCGGAGTACCAGTCGACGGTGGCTTCCCATGCATGGTTTTGCATTTCTTGGATCATCTGGTCACACTCGAAATCCAGAGAGGCCTGCAAAAAACGTGGGAAAACAGCTTGGAAAAAAAACAAATATTAGCATTGGACAAAAAATATAATGGGGCACTTATCTTTAATGAGTCTTCACATCTTTTAAAACACAGCGATGAAGTTACATGTAATCTGAAGGTTTCCTTACATCGTTACCGTCTTCTACCATATGTAGATCAAGTTAATGGTGACAAAAGCGATGCGAAGCTGGACTTACGATCTTCATATCTTTAGATGATATCTCCATTCTTCATAACATCGGAAACGTGTCTTGTCCGAAATCGGGGCACGAAAACATGGGGAAAGTAGGTCGTTTTTCGAAGAAATAACTTGAAATTTAAAAATATTAAGCAATTCGAAGTTTGGGTTTCAATTTCTACGACGGGAGGACTAATGAGAAAAGATGGAAACAATGATAACCTCGGTCAAGAGAATATGTATATTCGCCTCTCGGTCGAACGCAGTCTTGACGGTGATTCCGTCGTCGCCATAATCTACCTCCAGGGTCCAGTCCTTCCTCTCCAGGTTGAAGCGGAACATCTCCAGCGCCCTTCTCCCCTCGCCCTCGCATTTCTCCTCCCGTTGCTGCTGAATGTATGGCATGTCAACCCCTGACTCACAAAAAACCATAATATATTTACATCTAGGCGTGCCAAGCCTGTTTAGGAAAGTGCCTACTAAAATGTCAAAAAATATATGACTCTGATTAGAATTTTAGATGGTTGCAAGCCTTAAAAGCGGTTTAGGAGGGTCGAGAAACCATTTTAATGATGTCAGACTTATTTCCAAAACCACATTATATTTTTATAAATGAGGATCAGTGAATTGCTCTTGAAAAATTTCTAAAGGGACTCAATACGAGTCCGTGTTTCCTGTTGCATAGAAAAATTAGACATTATCATAGCTTAATATTGACAGGTCGGAATGTTCGTGCGAATGACTCGGTTGATAGCATTGAATTTCTCCGTGTCCAACACTGAGATGCTGGTAGTTTCAAGAATGAAAAAGCTGAACTCCATTCGCTTGGTTCCAGGAAAGTCTCACCGTATACCCAGAAACGGTTCCAACGCGAACCTTTCTTTGTTACGGTGCACCCATGCAGAAAGGACTAGCCAGCAGACCAACTACAAAAACTCATCAATTCGAAACTAACGGAGCAAAAAAAACGCGGACATTGAAATAAACGGCAGATAAATATCCGATTTCGCTGCAGGCACTTACGACACAGGAGGAATAGAAGTACGTGCTGTGACTGCGAGTTTCGACTGAAGGTCATGTGATATATCTATACATGTGAGAGGAGGTTCTTCAAGGGGTCCATCCCTAGAATACTTCTGAATGAGGAAAGGGCGATTTCCAAGAAAGCAATTTACGGGACTTGCAACCGATTGGAATTTGTGACAGAAGGAGGTGCTTTTTAAAGGGAACAAACACGTTTCTCCTTTTGAGTTTTTGTTCGCGTGAGCAGGAAGTGCGTTCGAATTTCACATTAGCTGCATATCGAATATTCCAAATTGTAGTGCAAAACAATCGCTGCCTTCTCGGAAGGGGAATGTCGATTATTTCGAATTATCAAAATATTTATTTAAATATCCAATATCCAAACAAATAGGTTTTCCTATATTTCAGGTTTCATGGCGGAATGTATCACGGCGCGCTGACGGAACAAGTGAACAAACCATACACAACGATCTTAATTGCTGTGAGTTCAGGAAGACCCATCGTGCATGCCTGACGGAAATCTTGGATTTTTTCAATGTAGACCAGAAGAATAATCCAGGTCGAAAGGGAGAACTATGAGTAATATGAGGGATCGGTAATAAGTTCTTGAAGTCACTTTAGTCTGATTTGTTAGCTATTCCTGTGTAATTTTTTTTTAATCACCAGCAAAATAATTGCATTTCCTCCCATCTCTCTTTCAGCATTCTTTTCCCACACTTGCAAGAACTATTCGTACCACTCTGCAATCTGACAGCACTACCGCCGAGAAATTTCCTCCCACGCACGCTTTCCTGGAGATGCCGAATCAAGTGAAGGTCACTGAATAACGCATAGCGGTTGTGGTAAATGCTGGAATGTCCAGTCATGAGAGGTAATCTGCGAAATCTACCCTCACGAAAATGTCTTATAGGATTCCTATAAGAATCCTATAGGAACCTAAAGGAATCCTATAGGTTCATATATGCCCCATAGAGTTCAGTTCGGGACCTATAGAGTCCCCTATAGAACCTATAGAGTTCCCTATAGAACCCAAAGGGCTCTGTAAAGGACCCGTAGGGTTCCCTATAAAAAGATGGAAGTATTGGGTTGTCACATTTCTCAAAGGGCACAAAAGTGCCCTCCCCTTACCCAAGGAATCATCTCTCACAAGAGAGTTTTGTACGTCCCCAAATGTCTCGCCTTGCCTCATTGTAGCAATCAATAAACTTCGACAGTTCCTTATTTGTCATCCCCATCTTCCAGATATAATCATGGAGTCTCGTGAAGAAATATGCCCTTATTCCTTTTGAAAGCCACGTACGAAACTGAGAAGGCTCTATCCAGATGGAGTTTTAGTAAAGAAACGTGCTCGCAGGTTCTGTCTTCTATTTCCTTAGGTCGAGAGAAGAATACCACTTCTTTCTGCCAAAGGAAGTAGATGTGCAAGCCAGCGACACGTGGGGAGGTGTCATAAATTAATGCAGACCCCCGCAGTACCTGTATTAATAATGCATGTCTCCCCTACCATGGAAAAACCCCTAATCGGTTTTTGATTTACACCGAAATGCTGTGCCATTATTAACCCTGGTCGCCTTTTCCGTCGTAATGCCTGGATTTCGAAACCCAAAATATCCTCCCCGAGTCCTATAGGTCAGGAGACCTATAAGACCATATAGGGATCCTATAGGATTCTAAAGGATCCTATGGGTTTTTCGTGTTTCAAAAACCTATAGGAAAGTCAATAGGTTTCCTACAAAAAATAGCTAAAGGTTTCCTATAAGACATTTCCGTAAGGGTAGTAAATGAATCAAAGTCTCATAATGTTACCTATATCGAATAACTTAATCCTAATTCAATAACTTCATCTTAATGTAAAAGCGGTCATTCATCACAAAGAAGAGTGACAAGAATACCCTTTGGCTGCTTATTAAAATGTTTTTATGTCGAGCTCAGATGCAATTTAATTTGAGATTTAGCATAAGTTCAAATTTAAATTAAATTTAGCGGATTCGAGGAATAGGCCTGTGCTTATCGCTCATTTACTGTGAAGAAGGAAAGTGAACGATATTTTTTACTATTCAGCAGGCTCGCACGAGATTCCCAGGGAAGAAGCTCTCTTTTCGCAGAAGCCTGATCACAGAGTTCTTATGAACACTTAGGAATTCCGTGGAAATGCAATCCCACATGGGAAACAATAGGGTTTCTTTATGCATCAGAACGGGTACGAACTCACAACTTCACCACAGTACGATAGTGGCATCAGAAGTTTATACTGTTATAGTTGAAAAAACCGAAGAGTCGGTCGGGCCGAGAACCTATCGAACACTCTTCGTAAACCGAATGGAAAAAGGACGGGATGATGAAAGGAAGGTCAAAACGACCTTGAAATTGGCTTTCGTCGAATTATGGGTGTGAGAAAGAAAATAGCTGATTACACCCGGAAAGGTGTCACAAATTTCTGTGCCCTTCTCGCCAAAAAAATTTACACGACATCAATGGGGGGGGGATACATGACTGACTTGCGGCGCAATAACGTGTAACGCGTAATTTCGAGTCGTATATTTGCCATTGCATGTTGACCTTGTCATCGCTAAGGGTGGTTGACTATTGCGACTTTGGAGGGGAAAGGCTTGCTTTACTGCCACTGTTGTTGCATCTAATCGCTTTCAATTTAGGATTTCGTGGAATCGATGGTCTTCGACTGAGTCGTCTTAGCTTTGCTTTATGACTGAAAAATTACGCTGAAATGGGCTGTCAGGAGTGACTGATACTAATGGTTCTGATTTTAAACTTCACGATTTATAACACATTTTCTCTAAGCAGAATTCGATCATGAATCGCCTAGTACTTTTTTTGTACATGAACGCGATACAGGAAATTTCCCAGGGCTCCTGTCCGCCCCACGTCAAATCGGACGGAAAAACGAGGACGAGAGTCAATTTTGCGCGTCTTACCTGCACTACGGAGGAGATGACAGGCGGCAGATCTTCGCTCACGAGGGTGACACCTTGAAGAAACTGCATCGTCCTCAAGATGAACTCGAGCAGGAATATCATCTTCCTCTCTCCAGTCGACCACTTGAAGAATGAATCAGAAAATGGCTTTTCTCAAGCGCACAATCATACTCGTCGTGCCATGACTCGTCCGAGAAGTGAGTTATCGAATATCCTTTTAAATCCTCGAAAGGAAACGACTCAGATGTCTCTAACATGCCAGCTTCATTTAGTTTAATTACGTTGACGATGCTGAATCGAGGAAAATCTGTCCATTATTCTATCGTTGTCTTCGAAATGGTCGACTGAGACAATGAAATTCAAACTTTCGATCTGAACAAGTGTGGAGTCTTTTATCGCAAACCCTCCGCACCAAATGATTCCAGTCGAGACACAGCCAATCAAGGCTACACTCTTAGAAAATTCCGAGCGTTTGGGGAGTAAGAAGTGAGCACACCGTGAGCTTTTCGAATTTACTCTCTTATTACTCAACAAATGCTCCCTCATCGCTCGTGTTGAAGTGAACAC